GGGGGGAATCATCAGTACAGTGCCCCATTTCGCTATGTGGTTGGAGGACATGTTGGGTAGTTTAGAAGAGAAAAGGAAAATGATATAATGCAGACGAATTGTTAGATTTTATAAAAATAGAAAGCAAACCAACCATCAGTTAATCTCAGTTCGATTGCACGTTTGTAAGGCAGTGTGGTTAGTGATGAGTACCGACTCTATTAACGTATGACATAGATTCCTGATACCTTGGTGGTCCGCATCAAAAAACTTGCTCTAAAGGGCTTGAGTACGGTAGCTAAATTTAGTATATGCAGTTTGTTTGACTCTGCTTGCCCATCGTGGAGAGGAACATAGTCGAATTTTGACAGTCAATGGAAAACTAGAAGTGCCGTTTAGATTTCCCAAATAAGCAAGCCTGTATGACCGTAACTTCCCTCTAGCCGTGAATGACAAATTTCAGGTTCTGATATTTTGCTTCCTAAACAATGATAATTACAGCATTTTGCTTGCATTTTCTTTTTAGCTATTTGTGATTTCAACGTTTTTTTGTAAAAGAATCCCCTAAGAGTTTGCCAAGAAAACACGATTTTGTTAGTGCTTGTTTCCCGGGACCACTGGCTTTGAAATTTACAAATTTTTTAGGATTTCCAAGAATGAAGTAATCTTTTTTTTTAAGGAGGAATTTGTTAATATGCTGAATTCCGGAACAGCAGGAAGTGGTGGTGGTGGTGGCGGTGGCGGCGGCGGTGGTGGTGGAGGTGGTGCAGCACCGATTGCTGGGCAAGTGCGCCACGTTGCCATACCGATTACCGAGACAGAAAGGGACGCAATCAACCGAGTAATGCCTTTTTTCGTGAATTATCACCATTATTCCCTGTCTCACCATTGCTCCCTGTTCTAATGATGCAGTTTTTTAGTTGAAATCAATGGGCTTCCCCGAGCAACTGGTCATCGAGGCGTACTTTGCCTGCGATAAGAACGAGGAAGTTGCTGCCAATTATATATTAGCGCGTATGGACGAAGCGGCAGTGAGTATAATGCGTTTTTTTTTGGCATCTATGCAATGCAGAAAAAGCACATTGACGAGAGGTTGTCTGCGTGTGTATGTATGTGTGCGCGCGTGTGTGCGTGCATGTGGGCGTGTGTGTGTGCGTGCATGTGGGCGTGTGTGTGTGTGCGTGCGCGAGTCTGTACCGATTTTTCATTTCGGAACCCACAACTGCAAAAGCTGGAACTTAGGGAACTTAATCTACGTGCACATACGGGCCTTCATCCCCGAAATAGGCGCGCTTATTTACGTTGTTCTCATGCACGGCCCCACCAAAGTTTTTGGCGGGTAAGTTTCTAAATCGGGAACCAGAAAGGGGGAAAGTTGAAGTTTTATGGGGATTTTCCCCGTCTACGTAGGAATCATTGAATTCAAACACAAACTCCAGTTATGCATGTTTCTCAAGCACAAGACGACGAAGTTTTTTTGGCGGGTAAGTTGCTAATTCGGGGGCCAGGAACCAGAAAGCTGAAATTTTAAGGCGAAGTTCCCCGTTCACGTAGGTCCTAATCAGCTGAAACCCAGCTCCCAGATGTGCGTGACTTTCACGTACGGACCGGTGAAATTTTTTGGCGGGTAACTTGCTAACTCAGGGACGAGGAAAACCAGAAAGCTGAAATTTTAGGGGAACATCTTACAGTCGTGGTAGCCAGTCTCAATTCTTTTAGCTAGAAGCACCTGCCGGGAAAAAACAGTGCAGTTAGTGACAAAAACCTGCGGAGAACTATGCAAAAAACGCATCTTCGCACTGGCAGTCGGTACGTTGACCAATTATTCTTTAATTTGTGCAGGGAAGAAAAGGAAGTGAGGAGATTGGTTCTAGCCAGTTAATTTCCAGCTAATCTCCGTTTTTGTTCATTTTGTTCATTGGTACTGTTTTTGTTCATTTTCAGGCTGAATTTGATGCGCTGGAGCACCAGGGTGACGAAAGTCAGGGGCA